GTGACATTAAAGGATAAATCCCCCCTCCCCCATGTTAGTGTAAGGACTTACCTTAATCATCTTCTTTCCTGTAGTTTTCATCAGTCCCTCCAGCGCTGGTGCCAGTCTCTGATCCAGTGCTGACTCCTCTCTCTTAACTGGCACTTCCTGTCCCACGAAGACTGTGCGAGTGCACGCTGCTGCATTATCTTTTCTGTGTATCTCATCGTCTCCCGGCTGAAGATCTGAACTGCGCATGCGCCTGCCCAAGAATCTTCAGATGTCCGGATGGGAGCATGCAGCGGAGACACAGGTAAGTTTTAGCCCTTTTGAAACATTTAAAAAAAAATGTTTTTGCATATATCTACTGCTTGCTAGCTGTAGTTATATGAAAAAACACTCGAGGGTTTAATAAACCTTTAAGGCAAATAGGCTTATTACAAATTTCCCTTTGACTTGGTGAAAGAGGTGAAGCTCTGCTGACTACCATCATCCAATCATGTACTGTCTTTATTATTTTCCTTCCTCATGATTGGGTATTCTTTGAAAAGTGAAAGCTTCTCTGCAAAGTGCAAACACTCTTGCAAAGTGAACAGTCTATTTGCCTTTTATAAATCAAACATCAGTATCAACGCACAAAGGAAACTAACACTCAGTGACTGTAACAACTGGCAAGTTGTCACATTCCTCTCCGTTGCCTGCAGATGCTCAGCAGAATTATCACTCACCATATATCTAGGATAGTAGTTGAAAAAATTAAAGAGGAGGCAGGATTCCCCGGAGGCAGGGGAAACATTCTTCACCCTGTGTAACATCATTGAACAATGCTTAGAAGGGCAAAATAAGCTATACATCAACTTTGTCAGCTTTTAAAAAGCTTTTTTTTAAATGCATGTGTGATAAGGTATGATACTGACTCAATCAAGACTGCCCTTTACTGGACACCAGAGGTCGACCTAAAATAACTCAGTGCTATAATGTGGTCACATAGCCGGCTGCATGTGAGCCAAACTTTGAACACAGATGTAAAATTTGCTACATGTAAGAAGAAATGGAAGACCTTTGTTGCTGCCTTGCAAACAAGTGGACATAATAGGCAATGATGATGTTAGAAAATAAATCATGAAAAAGATCTTTAATAAAAAAGTACAATGTGCAAACTGAGGGTACAAGAAAATGGAGATTATTTTTCACATGTACACAGTGAGAGGAATTTATCAAAACTGGAGCAAACAAAATCTGGAGCAGTTGTGCATGGCCACCAATCAGCTTCTCTCTTTCATTTTTAAATCCTAACTAAACAAAATGAAGAGATAAGCCTATTGGTTACCATGAACAGCTGCTCCAGATTCTGTCTGCTCCAGTTTTGATAAATTCCCCCCACTGTGTCTTATTATAATTAATTTGAATTACAAGCTAAACTATACAGCCTCTATAGCAAATTATAGATTCATGTACATTCAAACTCAGCTCTGCTCATTAAAGCAATCCCTGAAATCCACTGGGAAACCAACACTTCCTGAAGTGTCTATTTCTTGAGTCCTCCACAGCTGTCTTTGGCTCCTTTCTCTGATTTCACGTTGCTGCATGAGAAAGTGGTGAATTTTTTTTAGAGGAAGAGATGTGGGGGACCGAGGAGACAGTCTTGGAAGTGTTAGTTTGCCAGCAGCCTTTGAAAGACTAGTTCCAACAACTGAAGTTGTATTTGGCAGCACGGACACCAGAACAGGTGAGTATTCACTGCCTTCTTTTACAGGAAGTAGCACCTTTAACAGAAAATGTGTGACAGAGTTGCTTTAAAGAGGATTTTTACTTAAAGTGTATTTCTATGTGTATCCACTATGGGGGTTATTCACAAAGCTGCCGAAGGCAGCCGAGTGAATAACCCAGCCGTAGTGAAGTGAGCCGAACAACGTTCGGCTATTCACTTCGACTCAGTACGGATGATTTCAGCTGGGCTCCGCCCGGCTGTCATTTACAAGACTAATGGCCTGCCATTCGCCCCACTTCAGGTGCCACGTCCGCTCAGTGGAGCTGAAGCATATGCCTTTGGCTCGGCTGAGCCGCTCGGCCACCTTCGGCTGCTGTACGGGCTATTGTTACAGAGAAAAAACAAGTAATCATTTTATTTATTATTATTTATTATACAGTTATACATTGTGAATTGGGACATTTAACAAATATCCCAATTTGGCTGAAAAGTGAAAATACATTTTAAATCACAAAATATGTACAACTCAATGCTTCGATAGCAAGTAGCAGAACCCATACTAGTTGAACCAATACAGATCTATTTTGAAAACGGTGAAAAAGCAGGTCAGTGGCTGTTATTGCTAAAAAGTTTAGTTATTGTTATTTTCGATAGGATTCTTAGACAACAGCTGAGTTACTCTGGAAAAAAAAGACCACCTCTGGGTTCTCCAATTTTTTTAACAACAATAAACATACCCTATATACGAAATGCTTGACAGACATTGTAAAATGTGCTTTGGTAGAGTTCTCATGTAAATCATCCACAGTTCTTGTTTTTATGATACAAAACTTTTGTTCTATATTTTTCTTTTTAATCAATAACAGCATCAAGCCCAGACAGCAAACCACCCATGGCTTGCTATTGAACATAAGGTACCAAACACACATACTCGGTAGGATACAGAAAATTAAAAGGAATATTGAAATAATTTGAACTGGATCTGTCAAATAGCTGCATCAAAGCAAACCAAGACTTTTCTAACCTATCTGCTTTGCCTACTTTACAGTCTATATGAAGCAGAACAGATCCACAAAGAGTTCACTATTTAAACAAATGAGAAATTGCTGAAGAAAATAAAAACAACATATATTACATGGAAAGTAAACTTTTTAAAAAAAACTAAAAAAAAAAAAAAAATTTATATATATATATATAAAGTCTTACAGGGTTATTCACAAAAGGGTGAAGAGTTTGGAGAAGGCAGGAGAAATGAACAATCTAGAACAAAATAGCTGAAATGGAAAGTGAACTGAATTAGAGAATTGTTCCAAATCAGCTATTTTGGCCTAGATTGTTCCCTTCTCCTGCCTTCTCCAAACTCTTCACTCTTTTGTGAATAACCCTGTTAACCTTTTTTCAGCCTTAGTCTTTGTGCTGCTCCACTGAATAGTCTGGTTGACTGCCTCTATAATTATTAAGGTTTGGCTTCCCTTAAACATCAAAATGTCCCATTTAAATTGGCAAGGGGGATCAGTCTACCTAGTGTTTCAAATATTTACCCTGGGATACTGTGCGCCAAGCCTTCCAATTCTTCAGCTCTTTGCAATAGGTTCCTAGTACCAATCTCTGCCAATCTGAAAACAGAAGATGTTTTTTACGTGTACATGGCTGCGACTACTACATGTTATGGGATCTATGGGTTCTTTGATATGGGATCCTTATCCCAGATCAATCAGAAAAAAAAGTATGTTTATCCCTGTAGAAATCAACATATTGCATACAGATTGTTGTACTTCTCAGAGAGGAATAGGAAGGTTAATCAGTACAGATGACAAGGCTGACAAGAGTCTTTAGTCCCGCCAGTGGTCAGTCTTAAGCGATCTGAGTAAAAAAAACTATACAAAAAACTATACAAAACTCAAATTAAGGTAAATTAAGGAGACTTTGGACTTTAACTTTTGTTGTACTTTGCATTTCACCAGTAGCACCTTCATAGCTAATGAGCCTGTCAGTAAAATGCACATAGCTATAAAATCAAGAGACGCAATTAAGAAAACATAACATGATCTTCTTCTTTTTGTACAAATCCACATCCTGTAAAAACTCTCAAAGGAAATCTATCAACATGATCCCTTGTGGTTCATCGATTTCAACAATGCTTTCTCCTACTGCATAGGAGAACCATTTTAACTTTACTTTGGTGGAAGGAAAGGAAACTAAACATGTGTACTTACTCTGCAGCAAAAATACAATATTGAATCCAAAGAAATAACTAAGAACAAACTGTACAGAAGTAATGATGATGACGAATTTATATTTCACAAATGTGTTCTGTGATGATAATTATGATTAATTTATTTCTATTTAAAGGTGAGCAATCAATTATGTAGAATTATGTAGGAAAAAAAAATTGTGATGAGCCTTCTATTTCTGTGATAATATTTTCAATAACTATTACTTGCCTTAGTAGTATATCCTTGATTTCTCATCAGAATTCAATAGTTCTTCACACTTGTACCAGCTTTTTGAACACAGGTATCTAATATTTTATCTTTTAGGTAGGAGTATGAGAACTGAATAAGGTACACCTAGATATTTGAACCTGAATTACTTCTAATGAACATTTGCAGCTATGTACATCTAAAACAGAGGGCCTGTAATGTGATAAACTTGAAACATTACTATCAGAGACTGTGGACAGTCTACAATATATGGAGATTGTGCGCATGTTACACAAATGTTTAGAGACAGAGGTGCTACAAGAGACAGAGACAGGTTTCTAGTGATCAGTGTCATCAGAGCCTCTTTACTGTACAGTGCTTTCACACTTGTGGTCCCTAAAACCCCATCATAAATTACTGTCCTTCACAGTAAGACACATTATAAAAGTTTAACACAAAACAGTTGAAGAAAGAAAATTCACCAAGCAACATGAAAGTAAATTATAGATGATATTTATTTAGCAGAATTCTGTGTAATCAATCCTTGAGTTTGGCAGTTATGGTAGAGTAGTACAATGTGGTAGTTCTAGTGCAAGCATGGTGCCACATAGAGCTTTTTCTTTGACCTCCTCATCAGCACATAGCCCAACATAGAGTAAGCCCAGCTATGCTACAGGTTACATGATATACGGGATGCCAGAGCCTATATGTTGTACAGTAAGTACCATGTGAATGCATGTGGAAATAATTGTAGATGAGTATTCTGCATAAATTTAGATATTTTCCATGCTTTGAGAATTAAAATGCAGCAGCAAATTGTAAAGAAAAAAGATCACCTCTTTTTGTCACACATAACTAACAATGTAATGTTTAAACCTTTCCAACAGGAACTTCCAGATTGTCTAAGAGAACAAACTCACCTGAAAGAATGGCATATTAATAAAACACGGATAAAAGTCATTCCTGAGTATGTACAGATATTTCAAGATCTAAAGGTTTTGGATATGCCACAGAACAAACTAGCACGTCTTCCCCCTGAAATAGGTAATAATAAAATAAATAATTTGTTTAAGTTAAGTATACACATGATTAACCCTTGGTTTCTGTTATAGGCTTTTCAGTTTACAAGCAATTCAGCACATCTTAACCTAAAAAAAAAGTGTTGTTAACATGTAAGCATTAACAAAACACATAGGGGGTTATTCACTTAGCTGCCAAAGTGAAGCGAAGTGAGCCGAACGCTGTTCGGCTATTCACTTCAGTCTGGTACGGCTGATTTCAGCCGTTCAAGGCTGAAGTGAATAGCCGAACAGCTGGCTTCCCGACCAATCAGCATAGAGCTGGCCGAACAGCCAGTTCCTTGCTGATTGGCTGGGAAGCCGGCTTCCTGGCTAATCAGCATGGAGCCGGCCAAACAACATGGAGCCGACTTTCCGGGAAATCAGGAAGCCGGACGACATGACATTACCTGCCACCTGGCTTCCTGATTGCCCAGGAATCCGGGTGCATGCCAGCGGAAGCACCGGTATCGGTACTTGGTATCAGCGAGTACCGAAAGCAAAATATCGGTACTCGTACTTGGTACCGAAAAAAATGGTATTGGTGCATTCATAATAAGAAGCACTAAATAGTATTCCGTACTGATGAGGTCCTTCATAGAATTGTGAAGTGGGGTGAGGTAACACATGACACCTGAAAAAGACTGCAAAACACAAACTCACAAATCTTTCTATTCTTCCTGGTCCTTCAGGTCATGCCGGTCTGAATCTGAAATTGTGCCCCATAGAAACCAAAGTTCTAGAGGTATCTTGGTCAGAGGAGTTTGTTTACTAAAGGCAAATAGGCTGTTCACTTTTCAAAGGAATGTGCATGTTGCAGGGAAATTTTCCCTTAGCTTAGTAAATGAGGGAAAGATCTGCTGACTTTCATAATCCAATCATGTGCAAGCAAAAAAATAATAATAATAATAATAATAAGAAGAAAAAAATTATATATAGATTTATATATAGACATATATATCTATATATAGAGAGAGAGAGATATATATCTATATATATTATTATTATTTTTATTTTTTTTCTTTGCTTGTGATTGGGTATTGTTTGTGGAAAAAAAATGTCAGTGAATTTTCACCACATTCACTGAGCTAGCAAATCTCATCTTTTTTTAATCATGGCACACTTTATAAGTATGCTAAATCTCAAGGCACCCCAGCCTGAAAGGTGAAAAATTTAAATGTTACGAATTACAGGTGGTTCCCCAAGAATCTATACCAGACCCTTGTTCTTAATAGAAGTACGGTATGGATATTAAGGGGGGACCCCACACAAAAAACAACCTGTAGTTCCCCTTCACATCAGAGTCCTCCCTTCATGTCAGAAGCCCCCTTTACATCAAGAGCCCCTCTCACATCAGGAGCCCCCTTTCTCATTAGAAACCCCTCTTCACATTAGTGTCCTAAGTTCCCCTTTATCATGAGAGTCCTACCTTATAATCTTCAGCACAGTGCTACGGCAGCATGGCAAGGGCACGAGGCAGAGCAGGTCTGGATGGAGGCAGACTTCTGTCCTCTTTTGAATACTGGGAATGGTCCTGGATGCATCCCATCCTGGATTTGCATCCTTGTGCTTCCATGGTGCTTGTGGCCGGCTCGCCTGCACCATGGAAATGAATAACGTGCAAAAATTTGAAGGCTCCCCTGACAATAAAAAGAGGTTGTTAGTACAATGTGTATCAAACTAATTATCTATTTATGTCACATAAAGTGGGTTGTACATTTTCTAGTATTGTACTTAATATCATGAATAACTGAATATAATTATGAATACAGATTTAAAAAATAATATTGATAATTAGTGGTGATTGGTTTGATTACCTACCACGGATCAAGAACATTAACAGGGTTATTCACAAAAGGGTGAAGAGTTTGTAGAAGGCAGGAGAAGTGAACAATCTAGGACAACATAGCTGAACTGGAAAGGGAGCTAAAGTGAAGAATTTTTCCAAATCAGCTATTTTGTCCTAGATTGTTCACTTCTCCTGCCTTCTCCAAACTCTTCACCCTTTTGTGAATAACCCTATAAGTAAACTGGTAAAGGGGTTCTTTGGAGGTTAGCTGGATGCCTGAACCCCTTTTCCAGTTTTCAGGCAGACTGGTTTGCTCAGAGGAGCAACGCATGAACATGTTTGAGAGTACTGATTTGCCATTGTTTTAAATGCATCATTGCTCTAACTGCATCACTATTCTTTTAAATGCACCATGATATCTATGATACGTATGGACAGTGTACACTATTGGCACATATAGTGCATATTGAAGAAACTTATTTTCTGGTAACACTTTTAGACTAGCACTCTGTTAATAGCTGGACGGGTAATATTATTGTCTCTCTGTAATATGTTATTTAATAGTGCCAATTAAAAACCCACTGTTTATATTAATTAACATAACATGGTCATAAAATATATCTATACTTCATTCGGAATCTTATTTAGTACTATCTGTATTCAGCACAGAATATAAAAGGGCAGGATTTAAATGAAATTGTTCATTGCAAGTGAATAAGATCATCAGGGATAAGTTGATCAAGTGGAGGCTGTAATATAATCAGAGATAATGTTTTCTTGATTGTACACTTGAAGCAAACCAATTTTGAGTAATAATGGACTAGATTACTATACTTACTTGTCAATTATATTTTTGAGTGACATGTTCGTATGGCAAATGGTTGTTGAAAAAGATGAACAAGGCATTCTTTTCTCACTGAAATTAAAAGCTGTCAGTTATTAATACAGTAGTTGTTTAACTCTTCAAGTGCAAAGATGGTTTATAAACAGGAACAAGGCACCGGTATATTTAAGGATTCACACACTTTCAATTCTAGCATCTTTCATTTATAAGCAATTTGCAGGGCCATTGGCATCTGTGAATGCTCTCTGTGTGCAAATATGTGCTAAAATCCACATTCTTTAAATTTTTCTTTGCAAATAAAATTAATTTTTGAATGTTTTCATGTAATATCACATTATGTTAACTAGATGGACCTAAAAGAGCATAAATACTAAGGGGGTCATCCACTAAAGAGCCGCAGGATTTAGCTGAAAGTTTGGCTAGTCCTTCAGATTGCTTCAGCTGCAGAAACCCTTCAGTTCAGCTGAACAGAAGGGATGCTGCACACGCTATTCTCAATAGCCCGTACAGCAGCTGAAGTACACAGCCAAGCCGAACGTACATGCTTCGGCTAGACACAGCCAAACACACAGCCAGAGCAGGGATAACAGTCCGCCGAAGCAGACCAAATCCCTGAAAGTTTGGAGAAGATAAGATTAAAAAAACAGTGTGGGGTCCCCCTCCCAAATCATACCAGACCCTCTAGGTCTTGTAGGAATGTTAGCCCCCAATGTAAAAAAAATAAAATGCATGGGTTCCCCTACAAAGTCATACTAGACTCTTCAGGTCTGGTATGCATTTAAATAGAGACACCAACGTCAAAAAAAACGGGGACCCCCTAAATTTCCATACCAGATCCTTAACCCAGCAGTGGCCCGGCAGGGCAGGAAAAGGGGGACGAGTGAGCTCCTCCCCCCTGCACCACACTAGGCCACATGCCCCGATGCTGATGAGGATAAGGGCCTCTTCCCCACAACCCTGGCACGGTGGATGTGGGGGTCTGCGGGCAGGGGGGGGATCATCTGCATCTGGGTACCCCCTTTCAAAAAGGGGGCACTCAGATGCCGCCCCCCCCCCTGTGAATGAGTAGGGGGTAATTGTTACCTCTACTCATTCACCAAATAGTTAAGTAAATAGTAAATAAAAACACCACACAGTGAAAAAGTCCTTTAATTGAAAAAAAAACAAAAGTCAGTTTTTGTCAAGTCCTTTATTGTTAAAGGACTTGTGCCAGCCATTTGTTTGGTGAGGGGACCCCCATGCTGTTTTTTTTTACAGTGACAGTTTTCATTCTGTTCGCTACCTCTTAGGTTGCAAACAGAATGACTGGGCTGAATGCTGAGCCAAGCATTTGGCTATTCACTCTCTGCTGTTTGGCCCCTTTGAGAATAGGGCTGAACACCAGAGAAGGAACTGCCGAACGGGTTCTTCCCTTCGGTTTGGCCGAACATGCTGAGGCTGTTCGGCCAAGCCAGAGGGAAGGGAAGTGAGCCGAATGCCGCCAACGTACGGCTAAAAATAGCTGTACAGGGCTGCAGTGAAAAGCTGAAGAGGCTTCGGCTGCCTTCACTTTGGCTCAGTTATTCATTCGGGTGCCTTCATCAGCTTACTGAATAACCCCCTAAGTGTTTATTTTCAAATGCTTCTCATCTACTGGCGATTATTTTGTATTACATGTAAAAAATTAAAAAAATACATTCTTTGTAAAAAAAAACTAAAAAAAAACTAGAGAACTTCCGTTTCGGCATATATCTGCATAGAATGGAAGCTCACAGATATTAGCAGGGTGCACAGTTTAGTTCAAATAGGCTTCATCTTGTATTTGCTAGTCTAAACAGCAATATGTACAGCAGCTATTACGTAGCACAATACTCCATTCAAAAAGCACGATTGATGTATTTAAAACACATTTCAGCTCTAGTCTGGTAGTGTTGTAGGTTTAAACAAGCTGTTCGGGCTTCAGCAGGCTTGCAGCAAGCCGCAGCTCTACCTGCTGAAAGCATGATGAAATCTGATAAAACATTTTTTTAGCAACAACCTCTTTAAAGCTACAGCCAGCATGAACCTGGGGATCTGTACTCATAACTCCAAGACTTGGAAAGGGTGCTTTTAGGGTTCTTTAGGCTAAAACAGTTGAAACCTGTATAAACTAGCCAGAATGCAGTTATGTTCAAACATTATATATTGCAGTAAACTACTTGTCACATCTTGTTAATATAAAAAGTAGCAAGCAGACCAGCTTTTAACCTTGGCAGCTAACAGGATTAGGCTATAGCGGACACATGAATGTAAATACTTAAAACAAGGAGCTGCTAAAAGTCACCTGACCAGTATTAACAACTGGCAGTGTGCAGTGTTGGCTTTTAAAGTAAGGGGGTGACCACAGCATATTTTAGAGGGGA